TCTGTGGCTTTGTTCACATGTTGAACCCATCGATTTCGATACGATCCCACCTGTTCGATGTATCGAATTCGATCCATGCACCGAGTAATGCATTTATCTTGCTAGGTCTATAACGCCCGCATGCCGTTTAGAACTGGAATGCTGAGTGCTTTTCATCACAGCCTTGGACTTGTTTCTCTTTTTTTCCGCTGCAAGCTGCAAATATATATTAAATGCCAAGAATACATGGAAATAGGGAGGAAAGGAGAAGTAAAAATGGAGGAAGGTGATGCAGGCATTTTACGTAAGCGATCTACTCGATTCTTGTGTGGCCCTACGCACAGAGGAGCGAGTCAATGGGAAAAGTGGAGTTTATTTGGACTACATTGCAGGGCCGGATTTACCTACTTGCCGCCCATGGGCCGCTTGTATTTTGCCGCTCCCTTCTCATTCGTTTTGAAACATCAAAAAAACCATCAAGTGAACGTGCCGGAGGTAGCGGGGTGCATAAAACGCGTTTACTCGTGTTAGACACATTTTTTGCGAAAGCCCTGTCAACATTACTTGCCAAAGTTCACGGAGCTTTGCGCGAAAGTTAAGTCCCGTAAACCTATCTCTTTGTGAACAAGGCCATCTATTTATAAGAAATGAACGAGAAAATTATAAAAGAACAAACATAAAATTAAATGCAGTTGAATAATTTTAAATTCCACCGCCGCTCCGCGCTGACCGCACTGTATTTGGCGCAATGCGGGAAGTATTCCTACAGTCTTGTAGGCGCTATGCGTTTCACGCCGAGTCGCCGACGACCGCTGCTGACCGCACTGTGTCTGACGCAATGCGTGAAGTATTCATGCAATCTTGTAGGCGCTAATATGTGTTACATGCCGACCGCCGCGCCGCGCCGAGGGCTTCTCCTTTTCATCTCAAGTCCTCGTCATCATTCCTCTCTGCGCTGAGTTCCAGGCCAAATTGCGTGTTTAGTCCCTCTCTTAACTTGACTAATTAAAGATGCTGTCTCTTGCATCACCGAAAAACAACAAAATTAGAAATTACTACACTCTCAGGAAAGACAAACGGTAGCAGACAAACGACCCTCCTCCCCTCTCCTACAAAAGAGAGGAAAAAATCATTGCCAGGTCCTATAACCATCGCATCGTAGACATTTTTTTGATACAGTGGTTACTTTTATTCTCTTCTCTTTTCCTTTTATTCTTTTGGTCCAAGGGAGGGATGCCGCGTCCTGTCGTATTCCCTCTTCCACTTTAATCCGGCACTGTTTCTTGAAAAATATTTTGTCCGAAACACCTCGCACGCCTTGTCATCACGGGACATTTCATGGGCTTTGTCCCAGGGAGAAATCTCACCTGCGAAGTTGGGAAAAATATTGAGTCAGTTAATATTAATCCCAGTGCCAATTAAGAGTCATTGTGGAGTCCCAGGAAGGACTTAAAAAGAAGATGAAGAACATTTGGACTTCATTTTGCAATGGGCCTGTTGCATGCAAGAGATACAGCCGCGCGAATAGACTTTTTAGAGGTTAAATGACACGAAAATTACGATGGTCACTTTAAAAAAGTCTGAAATACACTCCTCACTGCGCAATTTGCGTTGTCAGGAACGCGCTTTTTCAAATTTCCCGCGTCTGGGGGCAGTTTTCTAATCACCGGAAACGAGCAAACGGCGGGCTCGGTGATTTCCGGAAGATGCCGAGTCGTTGTTGTTGTTGTTGTTGTTATTTTTTCCTTCAGTTTGTTTACAAACCCAACGTGATCTCTTATAGTGGTCCATATACGCTTTATGCGGTAACCAAATCGATCAACTTTTAAATATCCAACGCAATCCTTCTACATTTCATTTCACGATATCACGAGCTCCGATTTTTAGGTTATGTTGTCAGTTTTAGTTGACCGGAAATAGAGTACCTATATAGCGAGAGTATGGACAGATCGCTTCATGGAGGGCTTAGGGCCCAAAAGTGCAGCCACCCTTCTAACCAACTTCTAACGCACAAAATTTCACTGCCAGTCTGCAGATTCCAATACTAACCAAGATAGCCAAAAATGTAAAGAAATGAGCGTTCTTCCGCAAAATTGAGTAAATTGATGCAAAAACTGAGTCAAACACGTGCTTAAGAAACGACGGTTCGAACATTAGTATTAGTAAATCACTCTGTTTAAATCCAGGATACTTGGAATTTATAGGTTGGCTGCATTTCTGGGCCCTAACTTTATTCGCAGAAGCATCGGTGGAGGCCTGATGTATTTTCGGAGTTTCACATCTGTCCATACTCTCGCTATACATACAGGTACTCTAACCGGAAATAGCCGCGAGTTGCCGTTAATTGTTTCCGTTAGAAAACTGCCCTCAGACGCGGGAAATTTGAAAAAGCGCGTTCCTCACAACGCAAAATGCACAGTAAGGAGTGTATTTTAGACTTTTTTAATGTGACCATCGTAATTTTCGTGTCATTTAACCTCTGAAAAGTCTATTCGCACGGCTGTATCTCTTGCATGCAACAGGCCCATTAGAAACTACAACTTCTGGCTCAGTTTAGAAACAACGTATGTATCATCAGTTCCCCTATTGACATAAGTGTTTTTACCGCACTGAAAAAAATCTCGGTGTATTTACTAAGAAAAGGGTAAAATTACCAAGAATTCAGGGTTCTATTTGATCCCAGTTTTTTCTTGGTAAAATTACCATTTATGGAATTGGTAATTTTACCGAGAAATCTCGGTAAAATTATTGAACTTTCTCGGTAATTTTACTGGACCTTGGTAAAAACGCTAATATTTTTTATCGACTGTGGTAGAATTACCGAGATAAAATGGTAAAGTTACCGGGAATTGATCACCAATAAAAGTGGTGTTCTTACCTGAGAAAAACAGTAAAAATACCGGTTTTTAGGTAAGCTTACCAGTCTGTCTTGGTAAAATTACCAATAATTGGGTAAAAAAAGTGAGATGGTGAAGGTACCAACGGACCTTGGTAAAAACGCTGGGAATTTTTTTTCAGTGCGATGAGTCAGAAATTATAGTTCCTAATTGCAAAATGCTGTTCATTTGTTGTGTTGTTTAACGAGAAAAAAGCGCAAAAGTTTCATTCCTGCGATTTGAACTTGGGAAAAATCCCCTTGAGACCCCCGTCTGTCGTGGAGACAAGGCAAAAAATTCATTTTGTGACGGAATATCCATCATTATTTCGCAGCTTTAGTCAAAAATTATCAGTCCGATCTCTCCTGTCCTATATTAGACATCAATCGGATTCTTAACGACCAAGGCCGAATTAACCTTCTTACAGTCTCAATTAATACTATAAAAGAAATTAAGATTAAAGGAGTACCCAGAGGAACTAAATGAGGAACTAAATGAGGAACTAAATTCCGCGATCCCACTGTGCGGCGGTGGCTCCGTGGCGAGGGACCATCGGATTCAGTCGTCGTATTATCAAAGAGAGCACATGTCAATTTTCAGATGAACCGCAGGCTAAGTAGGAGTATTAGGGTTTTAAGGGTCATCTGAAAATGGACGTGTTCCATTCTTAAAAACAACTACTTCGGCGGGAACACGCGCCCACCTCACCGCGATTCGCCAACCGATTCGTTTCCATTTCCGCACTCCCTGACTCCCCCCGCCCCCCTCCCGTGGTTGTTTTCCACCGATTTTTCCGCCGCAGTTCGGAGTGTCGTGCGGGGAAATCGTTTTCCCACTCTGAGGCTTCGTTGCCCGGGGAAGTGTAAATGGTTCGCATGGTTCGTGCTTGAATTCTATATCATCCATTCCTTGTTTACTACCGCTCAGAAAACTGGCGTTTGTATCTATAGATATGTCGCCGGCGATTTGCAAGCGGTTCAAATGTTGTTTCAATAAATCGCAATAATGCGCATCGGCATAATGCAATTTTTAAGGGTTATGGTCTTAAAATTATGAGCTCGGCTTGAAGCGCCTTCATTTTTCGTGATACTCTACGCTTTGTCACGATGTTAGTTTAGTTGCCTGTGCGACCTCAACCCGACTAAGGTCACGGAGTTCACTGCACGCTCTCCTGAGTTTGCATATTTCTGCCATGTTTTTAAGTACGGAAAAGTGTCTATTCACATTACAGGCAACATAATCAGCACTCTAATCTTGTTCTTTTCTTTTTGAATTATATGATTTTCTATATTAATTCACTACTGGCTTGAAAATTGCTTGCGATTGCCAATTGCCTGTGACAGATATAAGGATTTTTAAGGTGTCCAAGTAATGTCACCCATAAGGCATACAGCAGACTGATTGTTGAAATTGATAGACAAAGCGATAGACAAAGAAGACGTAGGGAGCAGGGAGCGGTTCTATTGGTTGAAATGGGTGGTTCTTATAGATTAAGCGGGTAAATGATGAACTAACCATATGGTCTCTTGTGGTTTGCCATTAGTTAGTCCATTACCTAGCTTTTCAGTCCATTGCAACCAACCGCTTTCCCCAATAAGACCCCTCCATATCCCTTTTGTCTCCTTTGACTATAGCTATGTCTACCAATTTCAACAATCAGCCTGCAGTTGCGTCTTCGCGTAATGATGGCACAGACTCAACGGTACATGAAAGACGGTATAATTTCAACATTCTTAAGGCGTTTTGTAAATCCTTAAATTACTCCCAAATCGTACTTTCCCACGCGAAGAAGCGTAACTTCATTCCAAGGTTGCATAATTGACCCGATAATTTTAATTTATTACGAGAATATCGCTTCATTTGCATCTGGTCAAAATTCTGCTGATTTTCTCGTGCGCTCAGAGTAAAAATCGGTGAATTTTTCATTTGAAAGCTTCCAACAATTTCAAAGTAAAATACAATTTTCCAGCGGCAATTTTGCAACATTGAAATGCAGTTACATTCTCTTATCTGTTGGGGAACGTCAAAATATTTTCGGGAGTCTCCGAAAAATCCCTAAATATGCTCGATTTTGATTTTCTGTCTTGTGTATGGTTGCCTCATATGAAACGTGAATATAAATGTATTCGTTATTTTTGTTGACAGGATATGTAGCCTGAGCAGAGCTTTGCCTTAAGGTCAAGGACTCTTATGGCATCATGGCGACGACCTCTCTGAGGCAACATCACCAGCCCCTGAAAACCCTGAATAGGGGTCCCAATTTCATCTATACAAATCGCTCTGCAATTATTGGTGAGCTTATTTTTTGAAAAGTATATATTTCGCTTTTAGGTTTGATACCACTCCTAAACCCTCCCTTAAAATGAGTTTTTTTCTTTTTTGGAGGACGAAAATGGAAAGAGCGCTAAAATGACTCCCAGTTACCAATTTTCATTAATATTGGTCGATAAACATTGTCACAGTGTTAAAAAGTCGATTTTTTTTTCTCCCACTTTGGGGACCGTGGCCCCCCAGGGAAAGCGTTTTTAAAAAAAAATTTATGCTCAAAAAAGTCTTTATTTGATCCGAAGAATCGACTCTTTCAATATTCGTATGTAATTCTGGGACATCCTGTATATGCTCGTCTCCAATGCCCCTTAAATCAATCGTTTTTCATGCGTTTGAATGGCAATGGCAGACCAATCGATTCCACCGACAAAGCACGACCTGCCGCTTGGGCTAATCCTGGACTTTACGGCCTGCACGGAACGATAAACCCGCGAACGAGCCGATGAAATTCGCACCTTACACAGCCGCACAGTAGATCGAGTCAAAGGGGGAGATCGGACAAATATTGAAAATTTTAAACGCTTACAACTCCGTTTATACAAAACTTTGAGGTTCTAAAAGTGGTTCCATTTGTTCCCTCGTGAAATTTCCTTCTATTAGCACCCCTGGAAATTTAAAATAGGACGAAATAAACATAAAAAATTGCCGTTTTAGTCAAAAATTTCATGTCCGACCTCTCTAATTGACTCGATCCACTGTGAGCCGTACTAAAGGTGAACGCCGCAATGTGGATCGAGCCAATTAGAAAGGTCGGACAAGAAATTTTTGACTAAAACGGCAAGTTTTGATGTTTATTTCGTCACACTTTAAATTTAAAGAGTGTTTCTCGAAGAAAATTTTACGAGGGAACCGCGATGAAACCATGGTTGCGGTCTAAAAGTGCGTGCACTTATTTGACGTGGACTCTTCAAGGAATCTGTAATTTCGTTTGAAAAAAGTTTGTATTCCTCGGAGCGGGATGTGAAAATTAACGCTGACAGCCGACAGAAACTGTCGACTTTTTGTTTCGCCGTATCCAAGTTTTCTACTCCTGCGTTAAAGTCTCCCAGTCAGCGGAAAAAAGGTTCTCCTTCATTTTTTATGTACGCGATTCCACCCACTTGAAAGTCGAAATAGTTGTATCACGCCTTAAGCGTTTCGTCCCATCCAACTTTCCTACTCCTGCGTTAAGGTCTCTGGGTCAGCGGAAAAAAGATTCTCCTTCAGTTTGTGGATATGCAATTTCACCTACTTGAAAGTTGAAATAATTGTATCACGTGTTTCGCGCCGTCCAACTTTTCTACTCCTGCGTTAGGGTCTCCGAGTCAACGGAAAAGAGACCAAAAGTTCCTCTTCATTTGTGCGCATATATATGCGAGGAAATTTTGTTTGCTTTTTAATTGTGACCGGATTTGTAAAAAAGGACCTCATCTTTCGGAAGAAATTATCTTTAACTTTCTGCGAAAACTTGACCACAGTTTTCTACAACCGAAAAATGTTTGTCCTGGAACTTCCCGACTTGTATCTTCTTCAATTATCAACCTTTTAGGGTTAAACTTGCGCCGAAATTTCCAGATTTTCCTCCTCCACGAACAGTCAAGGAACATTTTCTCCTAGAAAACAAGACCCTTTTATTCGATAAATTATTATAACTTCAACGTGAATAGTGCGAAAACGATAGCTCGTAGAAAATTGGCGAAATGCTCACTTTTGCTCAGCATCCATAGACGAGTTAAATGCAATAAAAAAATTAAAAATCGACCATGGCACACATCTCTATGAGAGGTTTGCGGGGTCCTTTGTGGAAAACATTTCTTTATTTGACTATGGATATCGAAATCTCATTAATTGCGCCCCACCATGTGTTTCGATCAGTGGCGTGCACTGGGGAAAAAAACACATTGGATCTAGAGTCCGGACACTTAAAAACATCGACAAGAAAAAATACTCTTGATTCAATCAGATTTAAGCTTAAATCAAGAACCAAACCTCTTAATTTGAGCGGATTCCCCTTTGATTTAAGCTTAAATCTGATTGAATCAAGAGTCCTTTTTCTTGTCAATGTTTTCAAGAGTCTGGACTCTAGATTCAATGTGTTTTTTTTCTTTCTTTTTTTCCAGTGTATGGATATAGAAATCCCATTAATTGCGCCTCACCATAAGTTTCGATTTGTGGCGTGGCGTGCTTTGCGATACATCGATTGAACCGCCATTTAAACCTATGGAAAAAGATCGATAGGCAGGGTGTTCGCAACGAACACCTTAGTATTCGATTCTTTACCATAGCTTCAAATGGGAAAACATCAATAATCGATCATTCACGCCTCACACTGGGGAAAAAAAACAAAAAAAAACACACATTGGATCTAGAGTCCAGACTCTTGAAAACATTGACAAGAAAAAATACCCTTGATTCAATCGGATTTCTGTTTGAATCAAAATGAAATCCGCTTAAATTAAGAGGCTTGGTTCTTGATTTAAGCTAGATTCTGATTGAATCAAGAGTACTTTTTCTTAACGATGTTTTTAAGAGTCTGGACTCTAGATGTAATGTGTTTTTTTTTCAGTGCACCACTAGTTTCGATCAAAGCACGATTCGACGATTGACCTATCGAACCGCGGATACTCCTTCCGACCGCGTGCGAAATCCGGCGTTCCCTTTCGGGATGTTCGAAAGTAGGTTCGCATCTCGCGTCGGGACGGGCGGTGTTATGGCGGGCCTCCCACTCGCGTGTCATAACGGAGGGCTGCGGTCGATGGCTGATTGCCGATTCCTGATTGCTGATTATCGCGGCCGATCGCCAGGTAGTACACGCGCCCCAGGTGGGTGTCGGTGTATCGGCGATCCGACCCACCTCGGAACCACACCGTGCGGTTAGGGCTCAGTTCGGTTCGTGCGGGATCGGATAGTGTCAAGAAAAAGCTAATAGGTTTTTTTCTTCTTTTTTTTTCCACGGAAAGTGGGGTATATAGACCGAATTCGATAGTGGTTCGATGTATCGTTAATTTGGTTCGAAACAATAGAACATAACTTCAAGCAAAATTTTCAGGATTTAAGTTGGAAAAGTTGATAATGAGAAAATTCCTACCAAGTTCTTTTTTCATTGCCATTTGACACTCAAAAGAATAGAAATCTATCAAAAAACCCGGGAAAATTCTTGTGACATCAGGGTCCTTAGTTCTTTCGCACAAGCAATAAAAAAAAATTGTGTAACACCCATTCACTGGGAAAAAAACACATTGGATCTAGAGTCCAGACTCTTGAAAACATTGACAAGAAAAAGGACTCTTGATTCAATCAGATTAAACTTAAATCGAAAGGAAATCCGCTCAAATTAAGAGGCTTGGTCCTTGATTTAAGCTTAAATCTGATTGAATCAAGAGTATTTTTTCTTGCGATGTTTTTAAGAGTCTGGACCCTAGAACCAATGTGTTTTTTTTTTCTAGTGCACGGAAGGTGGGGTATATAGTTTTGTCGCCGTAACAGACAATACATTTTCGGTCATGTTTTTAGTAGTAATGATAATCACTCTTTGTTTGCATTTATCTATACAGGGTTAAGTGTTATAACGCTTTTCAAAGATTTATATCGCTCTACTTTTCGATTTTAATATACATATACATGATCGAAAATGTGCTGTCTCTTACGCTGACTTTTTACCGCGTAACAGGCAGCACATTTTCGGAATTTACATAATATCAATTGAGAAGGAGAGCAATAAATCATTAAAAAGCCTTATAATATGCAACCCTTTGAAGAACGTAATGCGAAAAAATTCGAGTGATTATCATTTCTACTAAAAATACGACCGAAAAATTTCTGTTACGGCGACAAAACTATTCCAGTTATCATGAAACCAGCCACAAGCATTAAAAAAAAATTGTGTAACACCCATTTAGCGGAAGGGCTTAGAGGGGACGATCCAGCAAGAAGTGTCAACTTCCCGCGTGAACATGGGAATCCGACCCCATCAACCTGCACTCGCGAGGGGAGCAGGAATTGCGACACTTGGTGATTTCAGAGATTCTTCCTTCCGGAGCGGCGGGGTCAGGGGGCAGGGTGTCCTCGCAGGGCCTCAAGGACGGAGGAAGGGGAACTACTACGCGCTACAACCGGAAGGACGGGTTAGTTCCGATGGGCACACAATATTCGGGCTCACTCGAGAGGGATAACCCCCCCCCCCCCCCGGCCCTGCTCCAAGGGGGGCGTCGGAAGTGACCAGATGACCGGATTCACGGACCCGCGAACCCCAACGGCCAACATGCGTGCTTGCGCCACGCTTGCCGGCATTGCCAGACTGTGACATGTGACTGTGTATTTCACATAGCGTGATGGAATGGTAAACTATACCAATCTTCAAGTCGATTCTGCCAAAGGAATGGTTACCTGTACCAGTATACAGTAACGTAAACTAGAGCATACCTACACACGGGAGAGTATTGCCATCTCTGTACTGCTCTCTGATTGGTTCATCAGTTTTTGGCTATCATTCAGCTCCAAAGTTGGCCCAATGTAAACAAACCCGACTTATCGGCTGAGAAATTAATGATAATCACACTCAAAGATTAATTTTCAACAGCAATATCCCTCAAAGTTAGCTCCGATTTCAATTCAGAAGTTGGAGATAAAAAAAATTTCTATCACTCAAAATCATATGTAGGACTTTGTAGAACTTTGTCGCCATCTTGTTTGTTTACATTGGACCAAAGTAGGAGCGGAGGGGCCGGGGTTTGTTTACATTGGTTCAACTTTAGGGCCCCATGGTAGCCGACCTATCAGAGAGCGGTACACTTTTTCTGTATTAAAAGGATTCAGATGGCAATACTCTCCCTTATAACAAGATTTTAGGATAACAGGGACTCTAGTGTAAACTGAGCTTGACTCGAACTTTCATATGCCGGCAGTCTGGGTCTAACTCCAAACGTGTGTTGTTGTGTTGCAGCGAAGCGGAAGAGTGCGGTGGAGCTTTTGCAGGAGACAAAGGCGCTCTACGTCAAGTCGGAAACGGTGCTCGACCGGAAGCAGGAGTTGCGGAGCAGCGGCCATTTCACCCACGCACCCTCTTTCAAATGTAAGACATTTTGCATCTCGCACGACTCCTCCTCGCACACCCTCCTCCCTTCGTGCAAAAATGCCCCACCCTCATGGACGAGCATCATCTGACAGGGTTGTCACAGTCAGGGAAAACCGGGAAATGTCAGGGAAAATGACGAAAATGTCCGGAAAAATTTATTCATTTGTTCAGTTGCGGTTAAACCTACAGTTACCTAACTATATATGGACCGCGTTTAACAGGAAGGAACCAAGCCATATCAGCTATTACCAGATTTAATTGGGCAGTTTAATTTTTTACGAGAGAACGTTCGTGCGGATTTCTTTGAAAATATCAAGGAATTTGCTTCGTACCATGGAGAAGATTCACTGAAATTAGCACACAAATCCGCACAACCGCTTTCATGTATAAAATTAAATCATCAAATTAAATTTGGCAGTAGCTGATGTGGCTTGGTTCCTTTCTGTTAAACGCGGTCCATATCCAGATAAATTATATTGATTAAAAAGATTTTAACAAAACAAACTATAAATGGACGTATTTCTGCCAAACGGAACTATGTGCTTGAAGGCATGATCCCTGAGACCCGTAAGGATATGTGTACAACAGAGCTCACGTCATAATGCACATAGTTTCGTTTGGCAGAAATACGTCCAAATAAGTAAAATTTTTAAAATTTGAAAAGATCCTATCAATAAAAATTTAAAGCTCTATTAAAAACTAGGATTACCTCTTTTTGCCTTAAAGAATAGGTTTGAGTTTTGGAACAACAAATTTTGCCTGAAAACTATTCTCAATCATGTCCTCTCAACCGCATCTGTCATACAGGGTTATTCAAAAGTCACGCACCGCTGGCCATAATTTTAGTTCTAATTCTGATATCGACTTGCGGTTTAAGACGTTTTTCCTCATATCGAGGAGGAGAATTCTTTAGGTACTTTCTAGTTTTTTATCCCCTCGGGAGGAGGGGGGCGGGGGGCAACTCAAAAATTTCAAACGGCCACCCCCCTCATGGCCAGTGGTGCGTGACTTTTTAATAACCCTGTATCTTAAATTGTCAGAGAATTTCACCAAAATGTGTCAGAGGAATCAGGGAAATATCAGGGAACTTCTTTTTCCAAATGCTGTGGCAACCCCGTGATTTTTTCTTCTTCAAAAAAATAAAATGGGAGTGGGGACTTTTAAACTCCGCAATGAGAGTTTCGCCATCGATGTGTAATCTGAAAGTTTCGAGGAAAAATATCCACTACTTTTCCCCTCACTAAATATTTCACTGGGAGAAATTTGACAAAAAGTGGATACATTTTCAAAAATGCCTACGCCGTTTTTACTCAAGGTCAGGCCAGTACGACTAAATAGAAATTGTAATCTGAGGGAACCCTCACTAAATATTTCACCGAGAGAAATTTGACAAAAAGTGGATACATTTTCAAAAGTGCCGACGCCGCGCCGTTTTTACTCAAGGTCGCACCGGTAGAAGCGCCCTGATACTAAGCAATAAGTCATACGTCTTCACTGCGTACGATGTTGCATACCTTAAATTCTGGAGGCGCTCAACGTATTGGCGGTAGCAAACGTCTGACGGAAGGAAGATCTCGCAGGAATCCCTGGTTTCTCGAACTGCGCGCGCGCACATCCCCCCCCCCCCCCCCCCCCCNCTCCTCCCTGATGAATTTCACATTTAAAGCATTCCACTATGTGTGCAATCTATCCTTTTTAATATGGAAGCGCACGCTCATGCATAGAAATTTTATTTTGCTTGGTTCAAACATATTTCATCTAAAACTCAAGTGTTAGAAAATAGCTCGGTTAAGATGGAATATTGGTATAGTAACTGGTCTTATCAACTTTTGCTTGTGTAAAATTAAAAAGAAAAAGAAAACAGAAATAGACGACTATCTCTGATGTGTTTTTTCATTTACTGAGCAATCTTGGTAAAAATGTAATGGAGAATTTGCTGGTACCTATCTTAAAGTTTGTGAATTTCATGTGTAAAATGAAACCTCTAGGAAAACCGAGTACGAGGATATCCTTGGTTTCTGAATTGAACAATTATCGGGGAAAATATGAAAAAATAACCTAATTTGCTAAAATACACGTGTTTAAAGGAAAATGCCGCCAGATGACGTCATGAGGCAGCAAATTTTCTACTTTTAAATCTATTTTCCTACAATTTTCCATGTCAGAAAAAAATTATGAAAAATACTGCGAACGCAGCTCACAACGCACTATCAGTGAAGCAATAAAATTTTTGTGTGCAAAGTCTCCATTGCGTCAAAGAAGTGAATTCCTTATTTCATTGAATCTCACGTATTTATATTAATTTTTATTTATATGGTTTTTCCCCAGATGCTTCCCTTCATTCTCAAGCCCCCCCTCCACCACCAAAAAGCCCCCGATTGGTAGCCCCAGTCACCAATCACAGAAGAGGCCCAAACGAACAGCTACAGAATACATTGAGGAAACTTTTTGATACCAACTCAAAGGAAAACCTCGTGGATATTTCCCCGGTGAGTGACTTTTGAGAATCCAGACTTTGACACTGTCCTCCTGCGCTTAAGGTGATTTGTCAAGCTCAAGTAACGCGGTCGAACTGGCATGAGATATATCGGATCGATTAGGTCAAAAATCTTGGCAGATTGTGAATTTTTAGCGACAAAAAAGACGATAGCCCCTGCGCATGAGTGTAAAAAATCATTCTAAACCCAAAAATTGTTAAAATTTAAAAAATTGGAAGCAGAATAGTGTGAGGAAAAAAACCTTGCATTCGATACAGATATTGATTTCTGTATCGAATGCAAGGTTTTTTTCCTAACACTAGGTATTCTGCTTTCAATTCTCTGAATTTTGTCAAGTTTTGGGTTTACATTGATTCTTTAGGCTCATGCGCAGAGGCTATTGTCCTTTTTGTTGCTAAAAATTCAAAATCTACCGAGATTCTCGACCTAATCAATGCGATATTTCGCATGTCAGTTCAACCAAGTCACTTGAGCTTGACGAATCACCTTAAAAACTGGGATTAACCTTTTCTATTCTTGTAACTTTTTATCTTTGCAAGCTTGCTAACTAGATTAAATGAATAATTGTCATCTCTCGAACACAGTAGCAACTCTTGTTACCTAGTTGGCAAAATGGGATTTCATCCATTTTAGAATGTATTTCGATGGCCTAAGTGCGAAACCACGTATCTATATTGCGGTGTTTCAAAATTTCCGCCTTTATCTTATAATATGTATATTTTATAGTTCACAAATACTGCAATTCAAACAATAAGTCACTGTTCTCGAATTTCTGTGTTGACTTGGTTGCCAGGCAGGACACTGGACGATCATTGAAATTTTCAGAGAATATTAATGTCATCTGAAAGTTTTAAGAGATATTGTTGAAGAGTGCGCTTTCAAGAAAGTATGGTTCTTTGTATTTCTATGAGCAAATCATAAAACTGCAGTGGAAATAAAATTGTTGCGAAATTGTCAAATTCTTAAGTACACACTATACTACTACCACTACTATACTACTTTAGTATTTGTTTTTATAGCATTGAATTGTGTATTTTTATTAATCTGCCTTTTGTTAAAATGTATAGGTTGATGATGAGAATGTGGTTCCGTTATCTACTTCCTGCCATAAATCTTTACCAGATCTCTCTACACAACATGCAATTCCAGTTATAACAAGGTTTGTCATCACAAGATTTTTGCTACGCCTTCCCATTGTCATGATGAAAGGACCTATCTGTGCTAAAAACGGATTTCTATTTACCATAGAAAATAAGTCTACATCCTGTCTACAAAATGGATCTTTTTTCTGGCTAGAAAATTGATAGGGCTATTTCCTTAAGAAAAAATATCCAAAAACCTGTTGGAAAATAGAGAAAAATTGGGTATTTTCTTTATCTATTTCTTAGAAATTTAAAATTCAGAAATCAGATAGAAAAAACACACAATGTAGACAACAAATTTGTCTGTTTTCCTTGTATTTAGTGTCCGGAACATGGACAGAAAATTGAAGTTTTTTAATAATTTTCTTACTTCTATCTGATACATCTATTTTCTTTCCATTTTTTTTTTTTATTTTATTTTTCTGTCTAGAAAATAGACAATTTCTAAATTAGTGCTTGACAGAAAATAGAACCCCATGCTACTTGGGAAGGAAAACCAGGGTGGGAGAACACTTAGGTTTTTCATCAGGGAATGAGCTGAAAATCAGGGAAAGAGCGTGGTTAATAATTTTAGACACCATGCCCAAAAATTATTAAACGTTGTTGTCAAAATTTTCCGTCAGATTTTGGCAGTCTATTTAAGTAAATCTATTATCTTATCATGTTGCAGCCCACCTCCAACAAAAGGACCTGAGCTGGCATCAAGTTCTTTGTCATGTCGAAGTCAGAAAATCACTCCTAGCAAAAGCTTCTCTCTCTCCCCGGTCAAATCTTGCTTCAGTGATGGACCACTCCACATCGTGGATGATAGGTTAGTTACTAATGAATGGCTCATCAAATAAGTCCCTTGGAAAGTAATTATCACCTTATTTTCCAAATATGGATTTTAGTTTTTCTTGGGTGGGTATTTTAAATTTTTTTCATCAATTTTTCAATTCATCAATCAATTTTGTTTAAATCGGGAACTCAGAAATTTGTGTCCATTTCCAACTTTGATCTCATAAATTGTATGCTTTTAACCAGTACTTTGGACTAAAGATGTTTTGAATTTTTTTGCTTATCAGTCGTTGTTCAATTACGTAGTCATATGGATCTGGATAGAATAGAAATTCGGATTGGACAGAAAAATCTGGACACAGAAATTTTTTCAAAATTTGGATTGACAAATCTCTCGCCTTTTGATAACTATTTTGGGCTGTGGATATTTTTAGAACGGTGCTAATTGTCTTTTCATCAATTTTTCAGTCTATCTATTTCAACTAGTCATGATGATGCTCCGATGAGCATAACCTCTGGTCGAAGTTTGTCACAAGATGAATGTGATAAATGCTTGTCACCAATCAAATCAGCCTTTAGTTATGGCCCTGTCTTTTCCTCTGATGATAGGTAAGTATCTTTAAAGTTTGGTGCTTTACCTATAACCTCTATTTTGAAGTGATAAGTCTCTTTTTCAACACCTCATAGGATTTGCTTGCGAGAAAGCAGTGTCAAACTTCATCTACTTCTATATTTTCTGTTCTATTTTTTAGTGGGTAAAAATATTTTCACAACGAAAGGTGAAAATTTGTAAATATTGATGCGTCCCTGTGATGTTTGTTTCTATATCAATTTAATTCTTGTTCCTTTTGAAAATTGTATGTACTGGCAATAAAAACGCCACACAGACAATGAACATTTTGAATTTTCATTTTTCTGTGGGAAAGCAAAAATCATGCCCAAAAGCTGAACTGAAATACTTGGAAAAATTTTGATCTCTCTCATAGCCAAAAGCACACTGAAAAGAGAACAAGTGACTAATGAATTTTTTCATCACTCTTTTGTTTTTGATATCATCATTTCTGTAATGGAAAATAATTTTTATAATGTAATGAACTGCACAGGTACTTAAATTTAACAATGTACGTAGCCCTAGGGCTGCACATACTTTTTACTCCCTATGCTTTCGAAATTTTTGTTCCAGTATCAGTACATTAATTTGTTGGGATGTCATTTCTGAAAAATATGGGAGGTATAAAACATGTATGGCAGTATGAAGATGCGTGCTTGTCATTTTTTTAAGTTATAAGTGCTACTTGGAACTTTTTTATCAGGCGTATTTCATTTCGAGTGAGAAGTTTCACATGGTTTGGAGGCAGGATATAAGTGAATCTGATAATTAAATGAGAAATGCAATGACATATTTATGTTGGTTTTCTTTCCAGGGAAATGTGCAATGTGAGGCCTATTCTAAGGAGCAAGTCTGATATCGGTGATAGAAGTTTACAAAATGTGTCTAGTCCCATCAGTCCGGTTGTTTTGCCAGACCTGGAGCAATTTTTCGGCCAGCTAGGTTTAGAATCATCAGAATACCAGTGAGTATTTTAAATCATTCCTTCTAAGTCCCTGGTATATGAGCGATGCACCCTGTTTCCACAAAATAAATGGGTCCTAGAACTCTCTTAATTCAATGCCATTAAAGAAAGAGAATCTCTACAGAGAGTGAGTTTTGAAGAAAAATTTATCTTTTAAAGCATCATATTGGATAGTATGTTGCTTGTCTAATAAAAAAGGGATAGAACTCTTCAGTTCAATGATGACCTTACTGCTTAGGAGTCACCATAACTTACAACTTTTTTATGTAGGAGCTTCGATAATCAAATACTTTTTCTGATGAAGTATACAGAATGAATGACTTCTTTGCCAAAGTGTCTTCATACTCAACAGAAGAGTTTAATCGTGTAAAAAGTGGTCATTCTTACCATGTGTACAACTTTTACCTGCAATCGTTTGGTTGCACTTTCACCCTCTTTGTTCTAAACTGTATACGTTCTGTTTTCCCGTAAAATAAAAATTTCAGCCTTTTGCACTCAATAATATCAATGGACCATCAAACAAGGTGCGAATTTAAGCATTAAAAATAAAAATTCTCCTCAAAATTTCGTGATGATTTGTGAAACAAAACTTATTGAAAGTTGCTCTTAACTAAGATATTAACATTTTTCAATGCATGAATTCAAACTTCCCGCTCATAGGAAAAACAATGATCTACTTGACTCGAATCCCACACCAAATGTTACCAAGACAGTTTTTAAGGTACGAAAATATGGCAACTTCAATTTCGCCTCTTTAGCTGAGCTATTCATAGAGTACATAGAGTCGTAATGTAAATGGGAGAGCTGGCGCCATGTTCTGCTCGACGAATTCCGAGCCCGGTGTGCGCCGAGTTCGGGTCGCTTTTTCGATACATTTTCGATCCAAAATGGCGGTGTGGAATACATGGTAATTCCTATCTCCGTTGTTGTTGTTGTTGTTGTCATCGGATGACCGGGTACCTGTGTATCGCAAACAATCGATTATGTATCGAAAAAGTGACCCGGCGTCACACAGGAGTCTCGGAATTCGGGACATGGAAAATGCTTAAAAGTGGCGCCAGCTCTCCCAATTACATTACGACTCTATGTACTCTATGGAGCTATTGCATTTTGTTTTAACTTTGAACATGACAGCGAGGAGAAGAAACACTGCATGATTGAAAAGCCAGCAAAAACCGTTGAACGCACGATTTGATTCAGTAGACTCAGGTTTTTCATGTGAGTGGGAGAACCCATTGAGCATTGTAACCAGAGGTAAATATAAAAAATTATTTACTATCTTGATTATGAGTAAATATTAGTGATTTTTGTTCCGCTAATCATGTTCTTCATGATGAAATTTCGAAGGTCAGACACTTATCAATATACTTAAATTCATACTTGTCTAAGTGGTCCGTTGGCTTACAACACAGCTGCTAGATCTTGACTGAGCACCATTTTCTATTTACTCTCTAAGCCTAAAATGAAATCTCAAAATTTGATTGTGTAAACGATTCCCAGCAAGCACTTTTAAACTCACAACTAACAACTTAATTGTGCGTTTTCAGGTCATTAATCAGTGTGCGATCTAACACTTCGTCACCTGTCTTCTTCAGCAGCAGCAGTTCGCTTAATTCTAGTAATAGCGATGCCCCAAGCGAGAAAACGGCTACCGCAGACTCTCTACCAAGGCCGGAGAATGCCCCTTCAATCGTCGAACGGAATGCACGCATCATAAAATGGCTGTGTCATTGTCGCAAAGTCATCGCTCCTCCCGCCCCTTCTCGGTAACAGGAACTGGCATAGTCATTTACTCGGTGCAGTATTATCCAGCAAATTAAGGAGATCTTTTAAATATTTCAAGGAGATGGAGGAGGATATCGTTGTTCAATGCAGTTGGCGTTGGAACTTTAAAATAATTTGTAAATTCTGATTCACAATCTCATAGGCTCACCCCCTTAGTTTTCTCTAGTTTTTTGACTGATGACTCACAGGAAAAGGTATCATCTGATCTCTGGCTGTTCATGTCGTTTTACCAACATGAATGTTGCTGTTGAAGAATTTTCCACCGGTCTTGTATAATATTGAAAACTTGAAGATGGACAGTGCAAAGCGAGAGGGAACCAATCAAACATTTCTAAAAATAGAACGAAGGGTGGTTTTAATTCTGTCCAGAAGCATATTTTCTCTTGCGGAAAATTTGAAGTCCTTGAAAAGTCTTCAGTCAGTAGAAACTAGACTCAAAGTTTGTTTTTTACAGCGAGCCTTATGGAGGGATGAAACTTCAAACTTATATTTCTCCGCCATAGATTGAGCTTTATGGCAAGATGAGACTTCAAATTTTAATTTCTCTGCTTCACTTACATGTCACTTAGTTTCTTTCTGCTCAACACCATCTAAATATTCTTGTCGATTCATACGTAATTTTAGGGTTTCCAACAAATGTCAAAAATTTCAATATGAAGATTTTTAAACAAGATGTCAAGAAATATCTACTTTTAATACTTATCACAGTTTAAAATCTGATTCTAAATCAGTTTGTGGCTTACTATTTTGGCACCAACTGTATATTTCAATGTATACTCCTCTCAATAAGCATTTTTTTGTCTCAGAGAACTCAAATTTGATTTGTTATTGTTATTTCCTTATTCAACTGTTTCCTCCTTCTTTATATATCCTCTCATGTATTTATTTATTTCTATTCATATTTATAATTGGTTTCATGCTCTTTGTCCAGCTCCAATAACTAACCAATGAACCCCTTCTTTTAAACAGACCCTTAGTGGTAAGTTTTGTACAGTTAACTTTTCAAAAACAGGGAACGCTTTCATCCTACCGCCCAGGTTGGCAAAGGATGTTGGCGCTTTTTAGAGATTAGTTTCCGTCTCAAGGATGCGATTCCAACAGGATTCAAACTTCTGTTTATTTACCCTCTTTAAGTTCAAAGAATTGCGTTTATTCAAAGCTATCGTAGATGATTTCCAACATAACATATGATAAGAGTAAAATATTATGTTTTTTTAGTAGTTTCATAAAACATTTTCTCCTTTTAAAATTTGAAGAACATATTATCGTTTAAGTCTATGTGAATGTTTACAATCATTCAAAACAATAGTTGTTTATAAAATGCAACGGAGTTTAGGGTTTGTACGACTTGGAGAAATTCTTAAATTTTTTTTATTGATCTTCTGGTCTTTCATCGCGAGAAGCTGCGAATCTATTCCTCGAAAAACGCTCTTGTATTCCTTAACATCTTTGTTATGTCTTGGCTGCACAAACTCTAACTCCTTGCCTCAAATAAAAACTTTAATTTGTTTTCGATTAACATAATTTGTGACTGTACCATAGTATACCTTGTTACCATTCAGCTCAAGCTCTGCATTTTTCAGTTACATACATTTTAATTATTTTGTTTCTGAGATACTCTATTAAAATACAGGGTGTCTCAAATCAAATGGTGGAAGCTTTATGGATCGATTCTACATAGGGAAATAAGACTGTTGGGCTCTGAAACTTTGTCTCTTAAAGGGGTAGATGTACTCCAGGGGGGCCTATTTGAACCCTCCCGATGTTTTCAGTTTTTATTATACTGCTTGAAAGTACCTTCTGGCCCCAAATTCCATTACAGTTTAAATGAATCAATTTTCAGAAAAACTTTAAGATGCTAAATTTTTCTTTTAAAATGACTCCAATAAAAAATGTCACAGAACAAAATAGTCTTAATGTTGTGCATAGAATGGAGGTTGAAGTTTCCGTCTTTTGATTTAGGACACCCTTGGTTGAGATCAATCCATTGAAATCCAATTTAAATCTTACAGTTTATTTTTGAGCCTGTTCACTTCTTGAATGAGCTTTGTGTAAGAAGTCTAAGATCCTGCGTAACTGCACCCTTTTGCTATTTAATTTTTGGTTGCAAGGTTTTGAAAACCAAGCTTTCAAATGGTTTGTCTCTTACCAACAAATCGTAAACCAAAGATTATTGTTGAGTTGATTTGAAGTTGGCACGGTTCTTTCTTGGTACTTTTGTCTATTCAAGTACATATTTTTTTCCTAATTTTAAGAATTTTTTTTCGGAGGCTAAAAATCTCAGACTCTTGCAAATAAGCTAAACCTGCAAGTCAAGCATTGGCTTCTAATGGCCTACCTTAAAATATGCTGTAAATTGGCTCCTTTTTCAATATGCAGACTTAACAAACATTCTGAGAGTAATCAGGTTCCTTGGTGATAGTAACCAATTTTTTTAAAACAATTTTTCAAAAGAGTACCTTTTCAAACCTTGTTGTTCTGCTCCAAAATCAGGAAAAAACAACGTGACTGTCCATGGGGAAGGACATTTTTTTTCTATAAATCTCAAAACTGAGACATTAGTATTACCTGTTTTTGAACATTTTGAACATTTGGGTACCGAAACGGTCCAAAACTACTTTACTAAACTACAGCTTTGATGCTTTGAAATTTGCAACTCATAAAATGTAATTTGAGAATGAGTTTCTTTTGATAGATCCATATTGTCAGATTAAAATTCATCTGAAGCCTTTTATTAGGATGCAAATGAGCTGAATCTCTAAATCTTGCTCTCCGGAATTTCTTAAGTTAATGCAGTTTTTCTTACCTAGCTCGACAGAACTTGCTTCTCTGAAGTGTACATCTATTCACTGAAATCCCTGTTCTGGATGACTGTCATTAGTAACAGAATTCAACATTTCTCATCAAGAATATCTGGAAATGATGAGGATTTTTGGACAGAAGAAAATTCTTATAATCCTAGACTCAAAATGTAAAATTGCCTGTGGATCGTATCCATGTCTCAGCAAGTACCAATTTCAGCTCAAACTCTTCCTGAACTGTAAATATCAAATTGTAAAATACTTGAAAGTTTTATTGTGATCTAATTTTAAATAATTCATAAGCATTGTTGAGTTTGAAGTTTGTTTCTGCTTGTGTTTATGCCTGAAATCTCAAAGTACAGACAAAACGGCCGATTTGTATCAGTTACGTGCATTTATGAGCATTTAAAAAGTTAGATGCTCTCGTCGGACGTCATTTGTTTTTTGGTGAAGTGTAGCGTTGAAAGTTTCAATTTTAAGCCTTGTTAATTGCCTCCTACCCGTCTGTGCCATTCTCAAATTCTATCATTTTATTGGCTCGCGGACGAGATCATGCAACTGACAGACTGATTTAGTGGCTACATCATTTGATATATCGCCATTAAATTGTCTCGCCCTTTAATAGAGTGGCAAAGCAATTGATGTCAAAACAGTTTATTTGCTCTGGATGAAATCATCAGACGTATAGAATATCTAATAACATAGTCACTCAATCAGTCTACTGCAGAGAGGAAACAGCATCAAATCTCGGATCTTTGTTTCCACGTCCTAACAGCTCTTCAAGGAGCTGTTTTTTGCTTCATTTTGAGACTTTCCTCCTGAGTATCGATTTCAGAGGAAATCAGTGACACCACTGCAACCATTTCTCATCAAATTTTATTTAGATATGGATGGATACACACAGATTTCTGCTCTATCCAAGAATTTCATCTTTCGTTCTTGGGCAATTGTTTTCTATGCCAAGTAACCTTTTTCCTTACCATTGATAGAGATTCATTCTCATTCAATAATAATGGATAATCCCATAAAAAGTTACAGGTTCTAGGATCAATGAAAATTTATAATTTTCCATTAAAGTAAGCAGTTGACGTCTCGATAATAATAATTTATGTCATATAGTGGAAACTTTTTTTATGAAAAAAAGTTTATTAGTTACCAAGCCTTGATTTCCTATTATGAAAAATGAAACACTTTTAAAAACCCTGATCCCTGTATCTGTGTCTTGCATTTTATGTATTGCCTTATTGTTTAAATTTTTCTACTTGGTAATTTTTTTTTCAGCAAGTGCAGAGCATTTTTATTTTATCTATTTATTTATTTTGTTTGTTTCTTTCTTGTTGAGTCTTGGTTTTGACTTGCGCATAAAAAATTAGACTAACAATTTAAGTTAAATTATTTTACAACTGTGATATGGAAGTAAGAACTGTAGTTTTTAAAATAATTTTCTTTTCTTTTTACCCTTCTCTCTCATGACACTTTGACCCAAGCCTCAATTTTTTGTCCTTCCCAAGTTTTTTTTCTTGCTATCATTTTTCTCCTGAGAACCAATGTATCTTTTATGAAGGATGGAAGTAAATAATGAAAGTTTCAAAATCAGATTTTCAAGAAAAAATTGTTCCATTTCTTACTATTATTCTTGCTTAAACGAACTGGCTTTCGATTCTATAAGAACTGATTTCTCCCAAATTCTTGGCAGCCAAAAGAAAAAAAAGGCCAGTAAATGTCTTACAATTTGCAGAACTTCAATTGATAATAATTGGAAAACACCTCAAATCGTTTGCAACACCCCTTCTCCCTCTTCTTTTGGCTTCTGGCATTCCATTCGCTCGTTGCGTTTGTCATCAAGCATAAGTGGGAGATGTAAATGTCAAAATGGATATTAAGACATTAAAAATTTAGTCTTCAAAACTATGCTCGGATCATTATTTACTTCCAACTTCAATTTAATCTGTTATTTTTGTGGAATTGCAGCTCTCACTTTTTTTAAAGTTCCTTTCTCCTTCAAAATGGAAATTTTACCGGGTAACTAAGTCTCAAAAATCAAAACTGGAAAGTAGTAAAAAAGAAAGCAAGAAAAAAGAAGTAAAAAGGAAGACATTTTCACACCTTGGAAGGTATTGTTGAAATAATTTCAATGCTGATCTGTATTTTAATATTTTTGTAGTCTCAGTGTGAGAGAATATTAGCTCCATGATATCAAGTCATCGCTGTTTAGTCAGTTTCTTCTCCTTATCTTTTGTTTACTTGTTTCTTGAATACTCTAGCATAATAGATTTATTTATGTATTGACTAAAAATGTATTTTTATCTGAGGTAATAAAAATTGGTTTCTTTCTTCAGGAATTCTAGTCATTGACATGCTTTGTGTTTTACCCATCTTACCCGTTATTTATTTTTGCTGTAAAATAATTTTTGAGCAATGGAAAATTACAAAGAAATGAAGTTCAAAAATAAAATCTGAGGAAATCTCTGACAAAACTGTATTAGTGATGGGTACCATTTTATAGTCATCTAAACTAAGAAATTTGTTTAAAAAATCCTCAGGATAGTGGGAAGGGGCAAAACTGGTAACTCGTTGCTTTATGTTTTATTATTTTGTAGATTTGCAAAAATGGATCTCTTAGCCAAGATGAGAGCGAAGTGCTACTCATTACCCATCACTCCCATCAGTTTCTCAGGGCTGTTCCTGTCTAAAGCAGGGACGAGTTCCAGAGTTTTATAGTGTCAACTGCCAGTTACGTCATGACACTCAACTGCCAGTTGATGTGTTTAGTCAGTTTTCAACTACCATTAGCCAAATTGTTTGCCTGATTTTTTTTTTTTTTAGTCAAAGAAAATTCGTACCATTTCTTTTTGAGATCTGCTTCTAAAATTTTTCCTTAAGAGAAATTGAATAAAAAAAAAGGAGAGAAAAAGATACATTCAGAAATTTGCCTCTAAAAGTTCATAAGAGACAAAAGGCATACACCGACGAAATTGGATCGACATGCACATGAAATGTCTCATGCTTGTCACGTCACTTCAAAATTAGCCTCGTTCAATTTTGCCAGACCCCATTGTTAACTGGAGTCAATCACTTCTCATTAGTGATGTTATGTTAGGAGTCTGAGGAGGAGGAGGGGGGGAGGGGCACATACTTGAAACTGACAAATTGAAAAATCAATTATTGCACCTCATTAGGTACCTTGATATCTAAAATAGTTCAAGCATTTTGACGCCAAGTCAAACAACTGCACTGCAACAATGCAAAATTTACACAAAAAATTGATTACATTAGTAAAAAATTTCTTTAAAAGGGGGGGGGGGGGGT